TAGCCCAGGCTGTCCTTGAACTCAAAGTGATCCTCCTGCCTCAGCCTCCCAAGTACTGGGATTACAGGCGTGTGCCACCATGTCTAGCGCACAAGTCTGTTTTACAAAGCATTTCCTCTTAATTTTATTCCAGATAGTCAGGGATGTCAGGTACTGTTCAAATAACTAACTGAGGGGCCAAGGGTATAGCTCAGCAACATAAGCGCCTGCCTAGCAAGCACAAGGTCCTGAGTTCAATCCCTGGTACCACCAACTAACTGAAGTGGCATTGTAATTTTTTTTGTTTTTGTCTTTGTTTTTATGTATTTGATACAGGGTCTCACTATGCAGCTCAGACTCATAGTGATCCTCCTGTTTTCAGCCTCTCCAACACTGGGATTACAGGCCTGCGGCACCACAGCCAGACTCAGTGGCTGTCTCAGCATGGCTGGGGGCGGGGCCAGCATGGCATGTGGTACCCAGCATTTAATCCTGGTCCCTAAGAGCTTGCCTAAGCAAGTGCTTAGTCTACTGAGCTATATTGTTGGCCCTGTAATCTTAAGACAATTCCAAAGGGTCAGGATATAGCTCAGTGGCATAAGCCCCTACCTGGCAAGTACAAGGTCCCAAGTTCAATCCCCAGTACCGAAGGAAAAAAAAAGAAACATGAAGTTGAAGACCTAAAATAGGGGACCGGGAGATGGCTCAGTGGAATAAGCACTTCCTTGGCAAGTGCAAGGGCCTGAGTTTAATCCCTGGTTCCGCAAAAAAAAAAAAAAAAAAAAAAAAAGACAATTCCAGTCAACCTTGTTTCAAACTATAATTATTTTATGCTGTTCAATCCATTGTAGGTTTTTTAGGTCTTTTTCACTGTTGTTGTTATTGCTGTTGTTTGATTTTTCTGAAACACAGTTTCACTATATAGTTCAGGCTGGCTTTGAACTCAGGTATAGCCAAGGCTGGCCTCAAACTTGAGGTCATCTTCCTGCCTCAGCCTGTCAAGTGCTGGGGTTAGAGGTGTGTACCATCACACCTATCAAGAAACAGTTTGAACTGAAAATAAGGAACTGTTGACTGCCCTGTGCATATTGGTGTCATGTAGTGAATTATATGCTGTGTTTTCTTTTGCTTTTCACTGTGATTTTCCCCACATGATACTGGAATGGCAGGGTCTTGTGAGGGGGCCCAAGAGCTGCAGACAGTTGAGCTCAGGCCTGCTGAACGGAGTCCCTGGACTTGCAGGCAGGAGCTGGCTGACCTCTACTCCTGGGCCTTTTGTTCTTTCTAGCAGAAGGAACCTGGGAGAGACCTCGGTTCCCAGGGCTGCTGAGCTGCTTTGCCTGGGGTCCCTGGGGCCACAGGAAGGAACGAGATGCCATCCCCTCCCAAGGGTCATCTCAGGGTGAGTACTTTGGCTTCTTGGAGGGATGGACCAGGGTTAAAGACAGGAGACCAGTGCGCATGGGGCACCTGCTGCATGTAGGGACAGGGCAAGCCTTGCAGGGTGCCTGTCCCTCAGCAGCCATTGGCCATGCAGGTAGGCAGGTGACCAGGCAGAGCATAGGCATGGCCATATGCACCCCCAGGGGACTGTGCGAATGACTTGCAAGCTAGGGGTTGGTGCTTCCCAGGGGTGAGAATGGCAAGGTTGGGAAGGATGTCCCTGGAGCAGAGGTGTGGAAGCAGGTATGTGCCCAGAAAGGGACTGTGCTCAGCACCTTGGAGCAAGGTGTGGAAGAGATAGTAAAGGGCACATCTGGGGCCACTGGTGGTTTCTGAGCAGGGCCTCAAGTTGGGATGTGTTGGAGAGGTGGCCCAACTGTGGGGACAGAGAGATCAGAGGGAGAGTGCAGTTAGGAGGGGACTGCAGTGGCCTCAGGAAGGACAGTAGTAGCCTGGACCAAGGGGGTGATGTAGGTCAGGAGAGGCAGGAAGTCACAGGAGCACTGCATAGTGAGACCGTCTTAAAAGTAAAAGTCATCACAGAAGTGGCCGGCCATCTCTATGTCACCCAGTGCACCTGCATCAACAGCTTTATCTTGTCCTGCCCAGAGCCTACTCACACCCCAGGGAGGGTGACATCCAAGTCTGTAGCTGAGGAATGGGAGTGTTGGAGCTGTCTTAGCATTTTGCCTAGTACAGTCAAAAGCTTGCTTTAAGAGATACAGCTGAGACAAGAGGTTCTCAAGTTCAAGTCCAGCCTGGACAATTTAGCAACTTAGGTAGACCCTGTCCTCTTAGAGTAAAAAAATGTAGGTGGAAAGGATATAGCTCAGTGGTCTGAGTGCCTGCCTGGAAGCACAAGGCCCCAGGTTCGATCCCCAGTATTATATGCTGTGCCTCCGTGCTGAGCTAGCCACTGGAGCTAACCGCTGAAACTGGGCGTGGTGGCACACACCTGTAATCCCATCTCTGGGGAGGCTGCGACAGGAGGATCACTATGAGTCCAAGCTGCATAGCAAGACCTTGTTCACTAAAAAAATAAAGAACTAAAAATCATTCACTTAATTTTATCACTCAGCAGGAACTATCTTTTTTTTTTTTTTTTTTTTTTTTCTTTTCAGAACCAGGGATTGAACTCACGCCCTTGCACTTGCCAGGGAAGTGCTTATTCTACTGAGCCATCTCCCCGGCCCCTCCAATCAATATTTAGAGACAGATCATTCCACTTGTCTGTCTACATCTCTCCCCATACTATTTAATTTTAATTAAAATTACTTCTATATGATATTTTAAATAATCTGTAGCATGCAGCAGGTACTTAAACCATTCTAGTGCAAAAAAAAAATGTTAATGTCAACCTCTTGGTTGATATTTGGGATGAGTCTGAAAACTGAAGGGAAAAACAAAGCCAAGGCATCGCTAACAGTTTCATATAAGCCCCAGCTTTCCTCTGGAGTTCATAACAAGTCTCCTGCAGTACTGAACATATTAAAATGCAAACTGCACTTATGGGCTTCGCCCCTCTGTCTCTAAGGGGAGTGGGTTCCCTTGGGGAGCATCTGCAGATGCTCAAGTCGCTTGTATAAAATAGAGTGCTGTTTGCACATGATGTGCGCACATCCTCCTGTATCCTTTACATAATCTCTAAAAGCAGAGTCCCCGACTTTTTTGGCGCCAAGGACTGGTTTCATGGAAGGCAGGTTTCCATGGATGGGGGCAGGGCCTCAAGATGATTCAAGAATATTACATTTGTTATCTGCTTTACTTGTTATTATTACACTGTGATATATAATGAAATAATTATGCAACTCACCATAATGCAGAATTATGGTGAGCCCTGAGCCTGTGTTCCACAGCTAGAGGGCCCGATCTGGGGTGATGAGAGGCAGTGGCCCCTGAGGAGTGTGCTTCTGTCCAGGCTACTCCATCATCTCATTTTAGAGACCGTCACTGCAGAAAAACTGCTTGACAAAAATAGAGTGCTGGAAACAGAAACAGACTTTTAAGCACTTTGGGGACAGTTTGGGGATATTCTGTCTTTAGTCCAGAAGGTATGAAGTTTTGAAGTAGTATCAAACATACTTTTAAGGCCGCTGCCTTGCAGTCACAAGCAGTTGATCTTTTCTAGCATAGGTAGTTCCCCTGACTTATTCACAAGCAGGTCTCAGACCCATTCCTTCCCAGTTCCAGAGTCTTTTGTGGTTGTGAAGTATTGCTCCAGGTCTTCTGAAAGCTGAGTCAGGTGGTCATGCACCAGCTGGGAGAAAGACGGCCCTGGCTAAATCTCTTGCAAAATCTCTGCTAATGTCTGAAAATACCAGGGTTCACTTGTCACTCCCATAGCTGCAGTTAGGCTTTGAATGCAGCCACTTTATCTGCCACCTTGTACACAGTTATTCTCTCTTGAAATGAAAGATTGACTTCATCGCACAAGCTCAATATATCACGAGAGTCAGCAAATTATGTGGCCCATTCGGTATCATTGAAATGTGGTAGCCATTTTTCTAGAAAAAAAAAAATGTGTGGAGTGGCTCATAATTCAAAGCCTCTGACCAGTGATGTACCTTTAGAGAGCCATCTTGCCTCTGTATCAGAGAGGATGCGTGCACTCTGCATCCGTCCCCTCACAGAACTTCTCAGGGGAATTAAAGGCATGCAATTTATGGCGCTTGAGGACGTTGATCACTTCTTGAAAGAAGTATAGCTCAGCGGCACAGCGCCTGCCTGGTAAGTGTGAGGTCCTGAGTTTGATTCCCGGTTAGAAAGAAAGGAAAATTTAGTTCAGGTGACATTTTCAGCTAGCTAGCTTTTCTGTATGGACATCACAGTGTATAGATTCACATTTGGAAACAACCTCTTTAGCCCGATTTGTAAAAACAAAAACCATCCAGTCGTAGCACCTGCACTGTCATGCACATACCCACCCAACGTGACCAGATGAGTTTTCCTGATGTGTAATCATTCAGATTCTAATAGTTCTGCAGCTGGGTGTTAGCTGGTAACAAAAATGCATGTAACGTACCCTTCTATAATCCTCAAGCAAAAAAACAGGTATTATTGTGTTGTTGTCAACACTGGTAGAAGGGGCAATCTGGGCTGTGTACCAGGGTGACTCACTAACTCTCTCTTACAGTTGTGTCTCAATATCCCCTGCTATTTCACTAGTTTTTCTAGTTAGGGTACAAGCTGAAAGAGGAACATGTGCCACCTTGAGAACTGCAGCCTCTCTTTAAAATTCATGCCAGGTGTCCTTAGCAGCAGTCAGGGCCAACTCCACCACTGATGAGGGTGTCACAGCTCAGCGGTCCAGTCAGCCACTAACGGCAGTGCTCTTGCGGCAGGCACATGTGACAACCTGGGTTCTTCAACTATCACTTGTATTCTTTGTGTTCACATTTTTTTCTCTTTGAAAACCCCCCCAAAAAGAAAAGAAAACCCCAACAGCTTATCTTTTAATGTAGGGTGCTTGGTCTCTATGCGGCAAGGTGGTGCTGAAGGTTTCATGGCTTTGTTGGATAGCCAGTCACCATGTATAATGCAAGGTAGATTTAGAGAATGTGAATCACCTGTGCCAATGAGCCTGTAATTTAAGTAGGGCCCTTGGTATTTTCTTTTATTTATTTTATTTTATTTTATTTTATTTTAGCAGTACCGGGGATTGAACTCAGGACCATGCACTTGCCAGGAAAATGCTTATTCTACTGAGCTATCTCCCTGGCCCAGTGTTTTCTTTTAAATACAGTTCTCTTTCTATTGGTGGTTTTAGTCTTTTGCTGTCTCATCCCTGTGTCTTTCTTCCTTTTTAAAGAAGTTCTCCAGTGATACTCATTTGTTACTTATGATGGCCAGGGTTAGCTTGTGGACTTACCCAATTGTGGCTGAGACGAGCATGCAGTTAGGGAAAGCCACAGATGGAAGTGGTAAATAAATAACGGAGGGCCCACACACAGACTAAAATAAGTGTCAGACTGTGACTTAAAGCCTGCCACCAGATGCAGCTTGTCACTGCCACTCACTAATACAGCTTCATTATAAGTCTGTAAGCAATGGATTTTTTCTGGTCTCTGCAGTCAGACCATCTTTGTTGACATTGATTTATATCTGCAGCTGCAGTCTAGTGCTAGCATCACTGCCTCAGCCCCACCTCAGATGCCTCAGGTGGTCAGATCATGTTTGGTTCTGTATATATATATATATATATATATATATATATATATATATATGTCTTTTTCAGACAGGGTCTTGCTGTGTGGTTCAGGCTTGACTTGAACTCACTATGTTGCCCAGGTTGGCCTCAAACTCACAGAAATCCTCCTGCCCCTGCCCTGAGTGCTGATATTACAGGCATGCACCACCATACTTGACTTCTGTAGGATTTTATACTGAGGACTCCATGCTGAATGCTGTTATACAGCATATGCTTGTTTAGTCCTTTTGCTAACTTGGGACCATTAGGACACTGACTTGGGACCATTAGGGTGCTTTCCCCCATGTGAAAAGCCCTGATTCAAACCAGCATGTAAATGGCTGTAAGGGACTCCTTATTGCATCAAAAAGATGGCCTGGAGGTGGAGTTGGGCTGGTGTCAGCTAACCCTCAGCTCAGGGATCCTCTCTCCAGGACCCAGTGTTCCCCTGCTGCATGAGCACGGTCCTCCAGAGCACTTTCACCCTCAGACTAGGAGTGAGGTGAACACAACAGCTCCAGGTATTACCCTTAATTATTCCCATAGGATAAAATCCTATTGGAATTAAAAATCTCATTTTGGAATTGCGGGGTCAAAGGCTATGTCTACGTTTCAGGGTTTTGATTAGTATTTTGTAGCTACTCAGTAGAGCCCACTTCTTCCCATTCAGTCCTTGCTCCCTGACTCTCAAATTTGACCTTCTCATGGCATCTGTTCTCTCTTATTGCAGAGACCCGGCAGGACTCCGAGGACGAGCTGGCTTTGACAGCAATCTTCCCCAATGGGGACTGTGAAGACCGAGGCAGTGGGCTCAGAGCCCTGGACAGGCCCACTTACCTGTCACATGAGCAACCTCAAGACTCAAGATGAAGGCTGGGCCTGGGGCTATCACTGACTCCGAGCTACAGATGGGCCCTGTCTCCATGTCAACCTCACCTGGTGGAAACTATGAAGACCCCATCCACCAGGGGCTGCCACATTCCCAGTTGCAAGTGAGGCCACAGGACTTGCTGGCACCAGCAGCACATGGGAAAAACTGTCCTGTGGGCTGCTCCCCTCTTAGTAATCACCCCCTGTGATCATGGATAGTGAAGTCATTTGGTCTCTCTGTGCCTCAGTCTCTCTAAGCTGCTGTTCTGTGGCATCCTAGGTGTGCAGTGCACTGGACACATGCACAAGAATGCAACTGGCAAGGACTCCAGACCGTTCTTTGGATATGGAGTGCAGCCCTGGCTCTGTTCCATGGTCTCTAGGGCTTGTTTCTCGATGCCCAAGGGGGTGGTGCCAGCCAGAGGCTCTCCAATAGGGACCAAGCCACCCCTCTTGGGCAGCATTGAAAATTTGTGTCTAATGTGTGGCCCAGCAGGCACCAGTGTCACTGTGGGGGAGCCCCTAGCACTTAGCGGACATCTCACAGAGTGCAGGACATATTCTCCAGCAGCAAAAACTTGGTTCGGCCAAAATGCCAATGTGACACCTTTGAGAGCCTGCAGAGGAGCCAATCACTTTGCGAAATGCTAGGAAGAGGCCCCTAAAGTGCTTTGGGCTTCCTGCCACTGTGGCTTCCAGAAGAGGCTGACATGTGGGCGCTGCTTGGGCCACAGCAGGTAGGCCCATGTGTTGCGGAGCAGGACAGAAATAGCCACTCCTCCCCGCAAGAAGGAAGGGCCCCTCTCTGTTGTACTGAGGCTGACTGTGTGCCAGGCCCTTTGAAATGCTGGCAGCTGCCCCGATCCCAAGCAAAGCCCAGGCCCTGGGATTCAAGTCTGCTCTAGGCATCAGGTCTGAGCCCAGAGGTTCTGGGATCTTGTCCTCTGTGTCTGACTCAGATAGGGTGGACGGTGCTCCCTGCGGAGCTTGCAAGGCCATCATGCACTCACAGGGACAGTCACCTTTGCATCTCTTGTCCTCCCTGCTGTCCCAGGAGAAAGCCTGGGATGGCAGAGGCAGCTCCTGATTGTTTCCAGCAGGAAGCACCTTGAGGGAAAGTATCTAGACCCGCACATTCTTGTGCGCCTTGCTCTGCGCATGCTCCCCCCAGTGTGCCACACCCTGTCTGGGATGCAGCCAATGGAGAACAGGAAACCTTAGCCAAGGGGCTCTGGGATGTTAAGGAAGGACCCTCCCTGCTCCGAGCCTCAGTTTTTCCTCTGTAACAGGGAACCCAGTCCTGCCCATCAGTGGCATCTCAGGGGAAGTGTAAAGGTATCAAGACAACGTCTTCCCAAGGGGTTAGGTCTGAATAATGCAGGAAGGTTTTTCCCCCACAGATGGGCTGGGTTGGCTTCCTTTACAGAAGGATGAACTCAAAAGAATTTTGGCTCATGAAGTTTACTAATTTCGTTTTAAGTGAGGAGACCTTGTGTCATCATAGCTGCTATCTTTTTGCTATTTCACTGTCAATTTCTTTGTAATGATTTGGTTGGAATTTTATTATTGAGTGGGGGTGAGAGAACTTCAAAGTTGGGATTTGTCGAAGGCCCAAGTTAAAAGGTTAAACAAATCTTTGCACTTGTTGCCAATGTTTGAAATTTGGGAAACTGCATATTAAAAAGTCTAGTTTTCTGGGTGGGAGGAGGGTTACCCCTTCCTGTGCCACGTCATCCTGTCCCCAGCCCTGTGACCCTTCACTCATGTGGACACCTGCTAGTTGCTAGTCCCAGTAGACATTTGAGCTTGGTGACTCCAGGCTGAATGATTGTTTGCACAGTATTTTCTTCACTACTTTCATAACTTTTTAGGAATAGCTGAAGAGGAAAGGTCTTTGTTTACTGAGATTTGCGTTCTGCCTCCTAACTGATACACCAGCTGAACACCATCCCACTTCCTTGAGCGTGGCTGCCATGAAAGCTGTAGGAAGAGACTGGGGGCTGCTTCCTGGCAGACCAAAGAGTTGGGTGCCAGAAAGGATGCTCTTGGGGTGGATCTCTTTTTCCAAGAGGGTTGGGGTGGCCTCAGGAGATGAGGGGCCTTAGTTATGTCAGTCATCCCCAGGAGCCATCAGCAAGGACCCAGCAGCCAGGCCCACCTAGGCTCTCCAGTACTAATCTCTAATGTGGCGATGCTCTACCTGCTTCTGACTTGAATGGAAAATTCCTTGCATCTAATAAAACCAAACAATACCTCACTGGATTCTTATCAGAAACAGAATGGATAGCTGGACACTGCAGTCCCTGCCTGTAATTGCTAGGTATCTGGAGGCTGAGGCACAAGGATGGCAAGTTCAAACTCAGCCTGAGCAACAGTGAAACCATGTCTCAAAATAAAACAGAAAGAGCTGGGATTAGCTCACTGGGAAGCTCTGGGTTCCCAGCACTGAGCAAGTTCTCCCCAGGCGCTCTGCAGGGCAAGGAATCTGGGCTCTTGGCCAAAGCCTCTGTAATCGTCTTTGGCCTGAATGTGCCCTCGCCCTGGGTGAAATCTCCACAGCCCTGCTGGCAGGAATCAGAAAACAGAAGTTAACAGTTTTGTTTTATTTTGTACTTCAGTACTGGAGATTGAGCCCTGAGCTTTTGCACTGAGCTACCTACCCAACCCTTTTTATATTTTATTTTTAAATTTTGAGACAAGGCCTTACTTATTGCCCAGCTGCCTTGAATTTGCCATCTCCTGCCTCAGCCTTCCAGAATGCTAGGATTACAGGTATGCACCACACCCCCCAGTTAGAAGTAAATATTCAGAAGATGTTTTAAAGGTAGTATTCAGGTTTTTGGTTTGTTTTTTGCTTCTTTTGTCTTTGAGGCAGGGTCTCACGATGCAGCTCAGGCTGGATTTGAACTCACTTTGTAGCCCAGGCTGGTCTCTAACTTGCAACAATCTTCCTGTGTCAGCCTCCTTAATGCTGGGATTATAGGCCGGCGCCACCATGCTTGGTCTCGAACTCAGAGACCCTCCTGCCTCAGCCACCCAAGTGCTGGGATTGCAGGTGTGTACCACCATCACTGGCTGGCATCCAGTTTTTTAAAGATAGCATTCAGTGTTTGTCTTTGTCCCCACCCATGCTTGGAGGAGCTAAATTGGCTTTAACCAAGTCTCAGAGAAACCTCTGTTACTCTCTTTCATCCATATCTGTCCAAATGAAGAGGCCCTCAGTTGCCAAAACTAACACTTCAGGGCCAAGTGCTGGGGCGACATCAGTGGGTCCCTTGTGTGGCTGGAACAAGAGCCCAGCCTCCACAGGGCCACTGAGGCCTTGTTGTGGACAGTAGCCTGTTGAAGTAACCACAGAACCAGCTCCCAGAGATCAGGTGGCCCGGACTTTGCCCTGTTTGCAGTGCAAACACAGCCAGCCAGAAGCTGGCTCCAGCTTGCTTGTCAGAGGCTGCTGAGGACCGGGACAGAGGTGGGGCTCAGGGGCTGGGGCACCTCTCCTCTGTGTGGCCTTGGGCTTCGGTGGAAATGGGACACAGGCAGCATGGACACCAGGTCCCTGGCTGCTAGCCTTCCCAGAGCCCTGTGGCCCCAGGACGCTTAGGGCTGCCTGACTGGGCACTCGGGGCTGCTACAGTGCTGTGGCTTTGGTGAGGTGAGGACCTTACTGGCTCCCTCCTGGCCTCCCAGCTCCCAACCCAGAGCCACATTCACCCGTGCCCCACCCAGGATGCTTGGCTCTGTCCTGTGACCAAGCAGCCCCCTCAAGTCTTGGTTAGGAAACAGTTTGGCCTTGGATCCCTGCGCCTTTTCTCTTCCTGACCATTAGTGACCCTAATCCCACACTGGCCTCTCCTTGGCCACTGCCATCCCTCGTGCCCCTGGGCTGGGCTGAGGGGTGGGGGGGCTCTCCCTTAGTCTGCACCCATTGGGCTTCTCCAGCCCGGCAGCATCAGCAGCTCCCAAGAGGCCATGAGAACAGGCAAGTACAGCAGGCCTCAGGCCAGAGGCCAGTGGGGAACAGTGGAGCTGAGGAAGCTCAGGCCAGGCACGCACTGAGACTTCCTGTTTCTGTAGCCAAAGCTGGGGAGATAGCTCAGTAGAATAAGGGCTTGCCTGGCAAGCGCAAGGGCCTCAGTTCAATCCCCAGTTCTGCAAAAAAAA